CACATGGTTCTCAAGATGCAGATTGAAAAAAGGAGTATCAGTCCATATATTCTATTTTCCGTCCATTAACAAGGCATGTCTTCCGTATTTTCCATGCGCCTAGCTCGAAGTGGCGAGAGACATGAACTTTAACCTGAATCGCCCAGAAAGTCTGCACCATACAATATCCCCCATGAGGTTTCTTCCAACACAGGAGAAGGTAAAAAAAGGAAAAGGGTAGAGGGAATCGCTTCAGGGGTTTTGCAAAAAGTGAAAAAAGAGTGAACAAGATAAAGAGCGGGAGAAAGACCAGTTGAATGAAAGATGGTCTGGAGATGGATGTTTATAAATGGTGAAAGAAGAATATCGGAGTCAAAGGGGGCAGTCAATCAGTCAATCAATGAATCAATTGGCGCGTCTGTCGTTAAACAAGTGAAATGTCACTAGGTAAATTGGGAATCAATCAAGAAGAGTAAAGATAAGAGAATATAGAATGAGTCTTTAGAGAAAGTGAAATTGAAGCTCGTAAATCGGTAAATGAATGGCCAGAAAAGGGGTATATGCCAGTAAACAAGGAGAAGATGAAGAAGAAGCAGTAGCAGCAGAGAGAATGCCACATTTATGGGTTAAAGGAAGGGTACGACCCATTTTGTGTGCCATTTGGTGGTTGTATCTGGGGTAATTGAGGTTCCTGCCGTAGATCTGGCTGCTGCCCATGGCCCTGACTACCGGTTTGACTGTAACCTACTTGGCTATGACTGTACTGGCCTTGAGATGGCAAGGGTGCAGTTTCTGATCGTGGAGGAATGTCTTGGCCCCCTGGAGCAGAGTAAGGAGCTAGCGACGGCCGGGCAAAGTTTCTATACGGTGCCCCGTTACCGTGCGTAGGAGGTGCACTTGGCGTTGGTGTCGGGGCAGACGGTATCTGTGGGACGGAAGACATCTGTGGGCCATCGTATGGTCCGTATCTTTCACGTTCTCGGTCACGGCTAAATGATGGTGCAGGAGTAGATACGGGTGGTGGTGGAGCAAAGGCAGTGCCAGGGCGAGAAATTGATGGAAGTGTTGGCTGGGGGCTTTGTACTGGTAGACCGGGCACTTCTGGTGCATCCCATGTTTGTTGTTGATGCTGTTGGTGGTGGTGGCTGGATGGGGTTTGGCGGCCCATTGAACCAGGACCCGGGGTGAGAGGTCCAGGAGTGCGAGGGCCCGGTCCGGGCATCATTGGGCCTGGAGTACGCGGTCCCGGTGTCATTGGTCCTGGTGTACGCCGACCTTGACCGAGCCCCTGAGCATTGAAGACTGGTGCAGTGGATACAGATAGCGGAGTGCCGTATCGTTCGACGGGCGGCAGCATGGGCGTCTTTGTGAATTCACGCTGCATTGGGTCTCGCTGCTGCTGCGGGTGTGGTGGGCGATAATTGTATTGCGACGACGGCGGGGAGTATCCAATACCACCAGCGTTGTTTACTAGGGAAGCAGAGGCGTCATCTGAGTACTGCGTTCGGTGCATCGAGTTAGAAGATGCCATGACATGGTCACCATGCTGGTCATGATCATGGTCATTATAATCGTTGTCGTATTGATCATGTTCATGGCTGTGGGCATCCCAGTCAGCTTCTGGCAGAGGCGGCGGTCGATCAGTGTTGGATGTGTGTGGTCTATAAGGTGGCAATGTAGTGACGGTTGTCTGGCGCGAGAGGGGAGGCATCTCCGGCAGCTTAGGTTGCTGCGGCTGCTTGAGATCCATGACCGAGGGGAGAGTGGGCAAGGTTGGGTTGCGCTTGATAGAAGCCACTCCGGTTTCTATATCGGTGTTGGTACGCTTCCTATCTTGCAGTACAACAGCGTTCGTGAGAGCCTTGTCAACCTTCTTCTTGACGATGCGTTCGAGTCGCCTGTTAATCTTGCGACGGCAGTAGACCGAAAGCGTGCCATCCTCTGACGGAATATGGTGCCAGAGGAAGAGCAAGTAAAGCAGCACGGAGACACAGAAAGAGAGAAACTCGAAGGCCCAGATAACAAGGGTGAAAAGCATGGAGAAGAGAATGAGGGCCTGTAGCCTATCTTTATCGGCCAGGGCTTCAATGTTGATGAAGAATTGGGAGATTGCCGAAGTTCCCTCTGGTGCGGCATGTTCGCCGATTGGGATAAGATTGAGCTGTGCTACAGAGTAGAGGGTGATGCCATTGATGACCTGGCGTGGTCCCTGAGCAAAGATGACTCTCAACCATGCTAAATGCCGTTAGATTGAGGAGTATTTCAGAGGAGTTGTGCCTATAAAAGAAAAAGCAAAAGAAAAAAAACTCACCCTCGAAGTTGAAGTAGGTAAAGATGGCAACATAGTCTGCTCCCTTCCTACTCTTGGTCAATTCGGCGAAGACAAGGAAGCGTCTCCATCCGGAGGCACGCTTGCTGGTGCGAATACTCTGGACTTTGACAGCGATGGGGTCGAGATAGCACTGGGCGATCCCGCCGGACTTGATGACCCTGATGGCCCGCAGCCAACGGTAGACGAGCAGCACGAGCGAGAAAATGATACATCCGGCGAAGATCCACTTGGAGATGTCGAGGGGGATGGCAGGCTTGATCTGACTGGACCAGCGAGAGAACGCAAGCAGGTTGACGGCCGTGAAGGTGTCAAGCGCGTAGACTGCTAGGGAGATGATGACGTTGAAGTAGAGGATCATGTACGAGACGGGGATCCAGCAGGACTTTGTAGTAAAGTCATTCAAGTTCTATCCAGTGTTAGAAGACAATAGGCATGGCAATAAGAATGTCTGGGGCCTTACAATGTAATCCCATTTCTGCTCCTCTCTGAGCCTGACCTCCTCGTCGCGGCCCCCGCAACAGCCCATGGTGGTGTTCTGTAGTAGTGTGTGTTATAAGGAACGGCGCAAAGAGCGAAGTAGCAGCACAGCCGCACGTATATGTCAAATATAGCAGTACCAGCACAATGCGACTGGCCGTCTTTTCTTGTTTTCTTCTTCTTCTTTTCTTCTTCCTTTGTTCCTGTCTGTGTGTCTCCTGTCCGAACCCGCGGACAGAGCAGTATTGACGGCGGCTAAAGGAGCGGCAGGACGGGCATTTATCAACAATGCCAGGTCCCTGGGCGAAGTTCCGGTCTGTCTCGACGTCAAACAGCAAGTCTAGCGGCACCACGCATCATTTCGAGCCGAGGGTGGTATGCGCTGCGTGGTGGGAAGTAAGTAGTAGACGAGGCAGACTATCAGTAGTAGCAAGTACTCCGTAGATATATGGAAGTAGACAAGAGTCCGCCGGCCAAAAGAGCGAGACGCCGGCCAACTAGCAAAAGAGCAACAGCTAAAGAGCGACAGCAGTAATGAACGAGCGTATGAGTGTCTGTAACAGGCGCTGGGAATGAAATGATATCGCGGCATCCGCGAGAGAAGCCAAACTGCGAGACCAGAAAAGCCGCCGACGTCGAAGTTGAAAAAGGGAGAAAGCAGGCGGAGCAGCCGAAAGGGGACTAGCGCCGCCAAGAAGTCAAAAGATCTTCTTTTTCAGGGGACAAAGCTTGTTAGTCAGCATGTGTTATTCTTTTTTTTTTTTCGTTTTCGTGTTTTTTATTGATGATTTTGGTCTTTTTTGATGGACGTCGATGTTGGCGATGCCGATGTCGATGATGTCGATGGCTGCTATTATTGCAGGGCCAGTGGCAGATATAGACAGGATGACATGCATGGGCTAGTCAGGCTGGCGACTAACTAGTTTGAGGGTCACGGCGGGTCGCGACGATGCGCTTGATCGCTCTCTAAGTGGGCAGGTCTGAAACACGGCGATGGAGATGTGGCTGAAACGACTGTGCTCGGCTGGCGGTGCAGGCAGATACTCAGCCATAGACGCTCTCTCAGTACTTTTATTACACTGCGGTCGAGCCCGGATCAGCTTGTGTCGTTGGCCGTGTGGTGGCGGCTGGATGCTTATTCTCTACGGACCAGTTCATAGGTAGAACTACGGAGTATGTTGGTATCGATGATGATGGTAGCATGACAGCATCAACGGGGACTCTGACGGCACGGTGCAGGCGCATAGCGAAGGGCAGCGTACGGAGTCAGGCTTGGCTGACTATCCCATGCAGGAGCCGCTCCGTATTCGACTTCTTATGGCTGGTGGCTTTAGCTTGATACACAAAATTAATCTACTGAAATGATATCCTGCTGGGTTTATATACATGACACTCGGGGGACGGGTCCGTACGAGTTTTGGGCCCCGTTTGGCTGAGGGTGATCTCCTCTCAACCAAACTCCGCAGGTTCGCTCTCTCGAGATGGCTTGTTTGGCTCTCGATGGCTCTTTGATTCTGCTTGGCGATGGTTACACCTGCAGAGCAGCCGTTGACTGGTTAGCAACGCTCGGATCAGCGTGTAACCAACTGTCTCCCTCTCAACCAGTCAACAAGTATCCGCTGACGGGCAATCGATGATCAGCTGCAGTTCCAGCGCTTAGCTTGCCTTGCCGGATAACTGCCCTGGGCTGTTCTTGTCTCTACTTCATACATCCCACTCGAGGATATCCTGGACCCGACCCAAATGCTATTATACATATAACTGCATGGGTAACTGAACGGGCGACTGAGGAGATCATTGTTGGGCATCATCCGGCATCAGCATGGTAGAGCCGGCCAGGACTGAAATACACCACTAAATATAGATGGAAATACCCTGCTCATTCACGCATGTTCATGCATATATACACTGCCCAACCGCATGTCAAAGGTCAAGTACGGCGCTTAGAAAGTAAACACTGAAAGACAATAGAGAATATACACGTAATTATATATTTACATTGCGTATGTTCATATGTGCAGGTGCGCGAGCTATGTACGGTGGTATATATATATACATATATATATAACAAGTGAAGAGTATTCATTGAGCCAGGTCGACCACAGGCCGGACCAAGCCATTCGTCATTCTTTCGTTGCGGTTGTTCTCCGGATGATAACCCTATCTCATATCATCCGCAGCGATACTTGCCGGTCGTTCGATTGCGAGTAATTTAGTGGCCGGCACGGAAGGCTCTCCAGGACTGGGCAATGCGGTTGGCCTGGCCGGGAGTGAACTGGTTCATGCAGACACTAGAGAATACTAGTCAGTACATCATTCTGTTTTCGCTCACTATAAAAGAAAGAGGGGGGAAGCATACTCATAGCTGTAGTCCATGTAGTTGTGGATAGAGTCAACACCGCCGCCAGGGCAAGAGTCCTGAGAGCTTGGGCAGCCGCTGGTCTTCTTGGACTGGGCGGGAGTGTCGGCAACCATGTCGGCATCAACGCAAGAGCCGTTCTCGCTGAAGACGTGGTAGAGACCTGCAGACGTCAGTCATACATCTTTATACTCAGTGATAAGGTAGGTGTAGTAACATACCCAAGAAGTGGCCGACTTCGTGGGTGGCAGTCTTGCCCTGGTTGTAGTTGGTGGTCTCACCACCGGGGACGGTGCCAGAGCGGACCATGCAGCCATCCATGATGATGGTGGTCTGGCTTGGGTTGGCGCGTGGGAAGTAGCAGATCTAGTATTTGTTAGTCACCATAATATTCTTGATACTAGAGTTAATAGGACAAAGACTTACTCCCAAGAGACCGCTGCTGAGGTTGGGGATGAAGTAGATGTTGAGGGAGGAGTAGGTACCCATGTGCAGGGCCTTCTTCATGCCAGCCTCGTCTCTGCCGCTGGCCCAGTTGGCATTGTCGGTGCGGGTGGCCTTGACCAGCCTGAACTGCACGCCAGCTTGGCTGTAGTGCTGGTTCATGGCGTTGATCTGAGCCTGGAGCTGGGAGTCCTGTAGAATTCGTTAGCAACCAACCCAGAGCGTCGTCTCTTCTTGACCCAGACAGGGAGTGGAAGTGACATACGGGGATGTTTCCGGTCTGGCCGCTGGTGAGGACATGGAGGTAGGTGTCAATGGTGATGCCGGCAGTCAGGTCAGCGCTGGCGGCCTCGGGGCTGAGGGAGTTGAGAGCCTCGGTGAATTCCTTCTCATAGGCACGAGGAGGAACAGCACCGCAAGTTCGCTCAGCAGTGGCAATGGAGCCAGCGGCAGCAAGGCCGGTAAGGAGGACGGAGAAACGCATGTTGAAGGGATGTGATTTTTTATGAGGATAGAGATATATCTCAATGACTTTCTGGCTTGGTCTGGTCTGGTCTGGTCTGGTCTTCTTGGTTTCTGGCAAAGAGAAAGAAAAGAAATCCAGCTCGACAGCCGTGGACGATCATTCCTTATATACACCTCTTGCTGAGCTCAAGCCCTCTCGACAAAGCAGGCCATCGCTCCGGATGGCGGAAATTGGTCCATACGAAAGTCGCATTGGGGAATATGCGGGTTCAGTGGGCTAACGTCTCGCATGAAGCCTTGGCTCCCTGGCTGCGAACCATCACTGGGGAAGGGTATATCAGTCGCCAAACCATGGCTGGTATCTCCTCCGCAATCCAGTTAGCTAAGGGGCAAAGCATGAAACCGACCGTAGCCGTGCCCGCCGCTCGAGATAACCAGCTAAAGAGTAGGAAGAAACAGGAAAGAAAAGAAAAAGAAAAGAAACGAAAACAAGAAGGGCACTTATGAAGAAACATCCATAGTACCAAGCGGTGAAAAGAAGGCCTGTAAAGCTTCGAGTGACTCGAATGTCAAATATCAAATATCATATGTCATAGGTCAAATGTCAAATGGGTCCCCCCCAAAAAAAGAACAAGCCGGATATTAGAAGCCGGGGCGGAGGCAGAGAGAGAGAGGAAGCCTGCTGTTGGATAGCTATCGGCCGTGGGAGGGAGGCCCTGCTATCTCGAGCACCCAGCTGACTCGGCTACCCAGGGCTTGTGGAGCTTGATACCATGCCTCTCAAGCACGTCGTAGCAAGCCGTAGACGAAGAGGAACGATATCAAGTCAGGCTGAAAAGTAGAGGGCGCAAGATGAATGTCGAGAGAACCCCCTTTTTATATAACTTGATATTGACCGATGCTCGATCGTCGCCGGTAGATCAACACCATAGCCGCCATCTCGAAGCGTACATTTTCTTCGCATTATTCCAGTCGATCAGAGAGTAGATCATGATCAGAGGCACACCTGACGGCCCGTCTTCTCTTCCCCTGGGCCAGAATAGCACATCACTCTAGCATGTTCCCCGCTGTTTCATCTTGCACGAGTCCGGGGTGCAGGCTGCAACCCTGGACGGAGAGCCAAATCATGCTAGGTTATCTTGGACGGGGCAGGCCGTTCGTATTATTCCCAGAATCCAATCCATATGTCGTATTCATTTGCTGGTCACAGGATATCTGCGGGGATGGCCATGGTGAGTTTGTTGATGCCCGGCGATGGGGCGAGACGCCGGGCTTGACATCGCCTTCACACGGCCACAACCAGCCTGACGAGAGCAAAGAAGAGACGAAGGCAATGATAGTCGACAAGTTTATGACTTCAACATGTTCGCCTCGCGTTAAATCATCTCAAAGACGTCGCAGCCAAGCCGGCTGGCTTCAGGCTTATTTCGCGCCCCTGCGATGGCTGGCGGCGAGATGCAATGCCAGCCGCGTCATAACATGATCATTAACCTGTCCAGCAGGCTGGATAAACACCTGTTTGCCTGTTGCCATGCTGGAATTGACATTCTCCGCCATCGATGCCGTCTTATTTCTCCGGTTCTTCTCTTGACTCCCTTGTCCAGGCCGGGTTTTGGATATTAGCACGCCAGAAGCCGAAGCCCTTGAACTAACTAATAGTTAGCCAGCCACCGACTTGGAGGCATCAGCATGAGCAGCTATCAATATTCAGACACTGCTCAGAGTGCTCTTCGCGGTAAATGCTTCATCCGGGGCGCAAGACATCGTACGGTCCATTAGATGTTATTACTGTGGACTCCATAGCGGTTAATAACCGTTGGCTTCGTTAGTTATTGGCCCTCGGCTCCCGGGATTTCCTGTTCCCTCGCTAGGCTGTTTATAAAGCGCGGGACGGTGGATCAACGCAAGCTGAAAACTTCTTCCGCCGTCGAGTTTCTCGTGATGAATCGATTTTTTTTAATTTCCTCGACCGTGGATTTTGATGCATCAATTGATTAACTGATTAATTGACCGATTAATTGCATCTAGTCTGGCCTTCGTTGCTCAGTATCAGCCGTCATGGGTGCCAGCCAGCGAAGGGGCCCAAGGGGGGTCGAGCAGCCCGCAGCATCAGGGTCAACGTCGACCAATTTCACCGACGGCGCCTCGGATGAATTCGAGTTTGGTGGCTCGCTCGGTGCTATGGGCGTCATGCTCGGGTCCCCGCTGATAATGTGGTATATGTGGATTGGCGCAACATACTATGACGGCGCGTTCCCCTGGCCTGCCGCCGGCCAGAGCTGGACGGACTTTACCCTCCATCTCGCCCATCTGGTGTACGAGGGTGGCTATCCCACGGCCAAGGCATGGGCTATCTACTGGGTGTTCTTCGTTGCCGAAGCCCTGATGTACTGCTACATGCCGGGCGTGTCGAGCCATGGACGACCGCTCAGGCACGAAGGGGGTCGCAGGCTGCCTTACTACTGCTCTGCGTATTGCTCGTTCTACGCGACTTTGGCTATTGCTGCAGTCTTGCATGTCACCGGCCTATTCCCGTTATACACGCTGATCGATGAGTTCGGCTCTATCATGACCGTTGCCATCTTGTCTGGCTTCATCAATAGTGTTATTGTCTACGTTCAGGCGCTGGTGCGAGGCCGAACCCACCGCCTCTCTGGATATCCCGTCTATGATTTCTTTATGGGTGCTGAACTGAACCCCCGTATTGGGATCCTGGACTTTAAGATGTTTTACGAGGTCAGGATTCCGTGGTTTATCCTGTTCCTTATCACCTGTTCCGTCGCTACTCGCCAGTATGAGACATACGGCTACGTTGCGCCTGAAGTCATCTTTTTGGCTGTTGCACATTATCTCTATGCCAATGCATGCGCCAAAGCAGAGCAGATGATCATTACTAGCTGGTGAGACCGTCGAGTTTAACAATTAATCCGACCTTTTGTATACTAACCTCAAACCCAGGGACATGTACTTTGAGAAGCTCGGCTGGATGCTTACCTTCTGGAACATGGCCGGTGTACCATTCACCTACTGCCATTGCGCCTTGTACATGGCCAAAAACCACCCGTCAGAGTACCGCTGGAACCCCATTGCTCTCTCTGCTCTCGGTGTCGTCTATCTCTTCATGTACTGGATGTGGGACAGCGCCAACGGCCAGAAGAACGCATTCCGTCACAAGGAAAGGGGCCAGCTCATCAAACGCAACACTTTTCCGCAGGTGCCCTGGCAAGCCATCGAGAATCCCAAAACCATCAAGACAGACGTAGGCGACCATCTGCTTATCGATGGCTGGTTTGGGATCATCCGCAAGCCGAACTACGTCCCAGACATGTTCTTCTCCTTCACCTGGGGTCTACTCACCGGCTTCAAGTAAGTCACAGACCATATTTTTACCTAGGACCATGGCTAACGAGTATTTCAGGAGTCCCTTCCCTTGGTTTTACTTCGTCTTCTTCATGATCATGATCATTCACCGCACTCAGAGGGACATTGATAGATGTCGACGAAAGTACGGCGAGGCTTGGAAGCAGTACGAGAAGGCTGTTCCCTACATCTTTATCCCAGTGAGTATTTAGCCCCGGATATAACCAGTTACGTATGCTGATAAGCCCATAGTATGTCATCTAGTGGTCACCAGTTTATAGATGGTCTTTCCCTTCGAGAAAGCCGCTCTTCTGTGGCTCCTATAGCTCTAATATAGCTGCTCCACATGTATAGTATAATTATCTAATAACCATCATTGGCTAATAGAATATTTAGATAGAATAAATAGATATGATCAGCATTATATTCGAAGTCTTCACATCAGCAGCAAGGTCCCTTCCAATATCAACGACTCAGTCGGTTGATTTTTCCCAATCGACCTCAGCCTGCAATTAACCGGAAACATGGGATCGACCCTTCAGATAGTGATAATAGGATCGTACCCCGTCCATCGATTAATCTCCAAGGACCAGGCCATGAAAATGAACATGTTGACTTGACGTTCTTAGAATATGAAGCATATGATTGTTTTATGGTCTTCGACATGTGCAGACATGATATGCAACCTCTCTATTAAACCAGTATCCCACGTGGTAGGCAAAACATGGCTCTCATAGCAGATTCATGTTTGAGTATAGGGGTATCACCCTTATTTATTTTTTTTCATATAACTGCATCTTCTATTGAGATTTTCATCACTTGTCCCCATTGCATAACCCAATAGCCAAGCCCCATCCCAATGCAGCCTTGTTCTCCGCGAGTCTGCCCCAGATCTTCTCAGGAGTGGGAATATTGAGCAATTCTACGGCTTCGCGGAACCTTTTCCCATGCAAGGCCTTCAACTGCATCGAATAAAGCACTTACGCGTCAATTCATCTCCCAATTGACAGCCATGCAGAATCACGCAACCATATTCATCTCTCCCGGGTATTGAAATTGTTGTGAGGGCAAAGTTGATGATGAGAAGCAAGGAAAAGCCTGCCATGTAGCTGGGGTATTGACCAAGGACATTTATCCAAGTTACCATCGCCTAGCTCAGCCGCGGGTAGGTGACGGCCGGCTAAATGGTTAATGCTGGAACGTCGCCAAACACCGCCCAAGAAAACGTCCTTGTCTATATCTTTGCTTCCTTGATGATATCAACGCCTTGGCCGACAATTTTTCAAACATTGGCCCCTCTAGCCTGACTTGTAACTGAACAGTTTCATTCCCTGAAACAAGGGTGGCGGCCTGTTCTCGTGAGCACACCCCCAAACCCCAAACGTGCCTCTGGGTTACTCTTCAAACCAAGATTACGACCGTGTTGGAAGATGATACGTAGTCGACCAGAGCTGTCTCGAATTGCTTCTGGCTTGGACACTCTCGGTGGTGTTGATAATCGGTCACTGTCCAGGATAGGGATTAGGTCCTGCACAAAGGGGTATTGAGAGTATGGGGCCATGGATCATGCCATGGCCGGTGTGCCGACGATGCCGCCCTGTGCAGGAAATTTGGCGTCTGTCTCAAGAACTTGTTCGGACTTTTAAGCACTTCATTCGATGTGCGTGGAGCATCTCCTGGCTTTTAGTACGGATGGGTCTGAGGTATCGTGGTATCAGCACAGGATGCATGGACGAACGCTTTCTGGAACCTCCGCATTGGCCAATCCCCGGGATAATCAACACAGGGGCATTGACTAGATCTCATGATTATGCTGTTGAGGTTGGGTATGCATACATATAAAGGAGACTGCAGTTGGCAAGTTACGTCACAATTATTATTATCAAGTCACGAGTATGTTGAAAGGTAGCATTCTTGGCTCTGTCGAATCTCATTCCTGTACATTAAAATTATGGCATATGAACGCTGGATGCCATGGGTTTCTATGTAAGTTAGTGTATATGTATACATGTCCGTATGCATGCATGTCTATTATCTA